AATAACATAATCAACTTTGAAAACTGCAACTCAGAAGATAACTCCACTTCTTCCCCATGGACCTTCCATCCTAAAATAGACAATCTTGAACTCCACCTTCTCAAATGTCATGCCCATCTCAACAGAGCCACTAACAAAAGAAACAAAAAAGAGGAACAACAAAAGTACAAACTCTTTACACTGCTCTTTCCTCTGTGCTAGCATTCTCTAAATTTTTCTGCTTTCCCAGAATTGCCAGCATTTAAGTTACCCTTCCTGGCATGGTCTGAGTTCACATCTGGGATCAGCTTGCTGGCATAAGAGAGATCTAGATGGCAAAATCTTAAGGTGTTAAGCAGCACACCACCCTTAACCAACAAGAAGAGTCCAGGACTCTAATACTGAGCAAAAGGAATCAGAATCTACTGTGACAAGAGCATACCATTGCTAACAAATATGAACAAGGACATGGAGAAGCTGTTTCATGAAAAAAAATAATTTCCCTTTGCCTTGCAATAGTTCTTCCAGATTCTTCTGCAGTTCCTGTTCAGTCAATAAATCTGTACAAGGAAAAACACATGTGCTTAGCACAGCCATTTTTGCCAGCAGGCACAAAACCAGCTTGGCACCTGCCAATAGACCACCAACCGCAGCAGCACTTTACTACATGGTATTACACACAGTGCCAGCTGAGAAGAGAGACTAAGGAAAAAAGCAGAAGTGATGCTGGCTAGAACAGCCTTGACGGTCAGGAAGGGCCAATTTTACAATTTATGAGGTACAGGACCACTCCACACACCCTACTCTCTAGAGCTTCTCTTCCTTACCTGTTCATTGAAGGAGAGACACTAAAGCCAGCTGTTCTGCCCTCTTTCAGTTGGGTGCACAAAAGTGGCCCTTTGAAGGGCAAAGCTTGTGGTCACAAGTATTTTTGTTTGCTTTGTGTCCTGTGCATCTAGACTTCTGATAAGGACTTACCTGTACTGTTACCACTGCATTAGTCCCAAGGCAACCACTGCCAGAAGGTAGCCTGACAGCTAGTACATCTTCTCCTGTCTTAGCCCAAACAAAATCAAACCAAATCACCCTTAGCCATTGTCTTCACTCAGACCTACTCTCTCTGCACATGTTCCCAATGAAATAAATCAAGATTGAATTTGGCCCCTATCAGGAGTAACCCTTTCTGTTTTAATTTTCTAATCAAGGAGACAAGGCCTAAAAACAGCATCTGGCTTCAAGTAACATGAAAGCCTGTGATCCATCATAGAACTCTCCTTCTGGTTGAGCGGGATCGAGAGCAGAAATGTCAGCTGAAATCAGCATCAACTTTTGTTTGACAACCACTGCCTTTAGTCAGAGTCCAGTTAGGCAGCTGCCATTACTCAGTTGGTTGGTCTGGGTACATCCCCCAAACAGAGCAGCCTATGCACGTGTATTTCATAGAATCATTTAGGTTGGAAAAGACCTTTAAGATGATCAAGTCCAACCATTAACCTAATACTACCAAGTCCACCACTAAACCAATTAAGGGCAGAGTAATAATTAATTTCATGTTTCCTGGCTTGGTGGCTGGATTATTTTTTAATGAAAGTAAAACTAGGAATCATTGAGCTTGGAAGGGACCTCTAAGATCATCAGTCCAACCATCAACCCAACACCACCATGCCTACTAGACCATGTCCCAAAGTGCCACATCTACACGTTTTTTGAACACCACCAGAAATGGTGACTCCACCACCTCTCTGGGCAGCCTGTTCCAATGCTTGACCACTCTTTCCATGAAGAAAATTTGCCTCAGCCTGGAGCCTACACAAGCACATTTGCAAGCTCTGGAGGGGTCTTGTGACTCCATCACAAATAAAGGATCACAACACACTCCTAATTCCTCCTCTTTCAAAATGGACATCTCCAAATTTACTTTTCATGATATTAATTTAAGGACCACAAGAACAAGAGAAGACATGATTCTGGCCCTCAAAATGTGATCAGGAAGGCAGGTATAAACATACTGAATATTTGCTGGATTGGAAAATTCATCTCAAGGGAGGCTTTTCCCAGCTCTTTCCCAGCTAGGCTTAGCTCTTCTTGTCACTAACTCTTATATGGGAAAATGCCCCAGATTTTAACTGCAACAAGGGGAAAAATAAGGCTTTTAAAAACTCATTCAAGCACACCAATGTTTCAGTACACCCTTTGTAGAGCAGATGGCAAGACGAGACTATGCCCTCTGGGCCTGCTTCAGGGAGCTAACGCAAATGGTATTCTCACTGCAGATCTCAGATGATGTTGGTGTCATCATTTCACTTGGGGATTTGGGTCAAAAGGCTTTACACTCAAACCTGGTTTTTATATAGTACAAGTGCACCCAGACTAGACCCTAACAGATAAGCGGCAGGGAGGCTAGTACACAGCATATACCCCTTTCAGGCACTTCCAGGTCGCTGATTTACACTGGTGCATTTACAGACTGAATCCCTCTAATCCAATTAAAATCTCATCAGAGCTGTCAATACAGATGTAGCCTGTTTTATTTTAGTGTCTCGTAGAACATGCATTAATCTGGACCTGTGGACAAACTAGCCCTTCTAGGCAAATTCTGCATTCTGCCAGCCCCGTTTCGAGCCCAGGTTCTCTTGCTCATAAAGCCCTTACTGCTCTCATGTTACCTGCCTACCCAGGAACTCCTATGGACATACATCACCATCCTATCTGAGTGATTTATAAAAAGTGCGACATACACCATTAACCTTCTGAAAAATAGCACTTTTCTCTCCCAGCTCACTTCTCATGTAATGATGACTAGGGTACTATCATTAAATATAAGAACATGAATATGATCTATTTTCATTTCAATGGTTTCATTTGTTTGAAACGTATATGCCAGTTACAGGCTGTCAGCACATTTAATAAGTTATAGCATAGACCAACAACTCACAAACTTCTGGGGCCAAAAATTTTTACAGATCATCATGTGTACTTGTCATTAAATTTTGCACCAAAAACATTATAAATTATACTGTTTAATAGACTTCCAGGCAGCTGTGAGCTGTTTTGCCACAAGCACATGGAACACCAGTATTTGCCAGGCATAAAACAAAAAGCTAAAAGCACCCTTAATACCATCACAAACTCTCAAACTCCTCATACATACTGATAACCTTCCCAGTAAGCAAAAGCCCAGCAGCAACTAAAACAGGTCTTTCACTATGACCCGAAGGTAAACAAGTTCAAGTTTTAGCAAGCCAAGTTCAGAAGCAAAGCACATCTGTTGTTGACGTCCTCAGGAAGGCTGGATTGAATGCTTCAACAGATCTTGGTACTGGAAAGAGGTGAACTTTGATACAGCAATTAAAGCTTTGCATGTGAAAACCAATACTTCAGCAGCATCCAGAAATAAATTTACAGCAGAGCAGATTAGAGATTATACTCTTACTCATGAGAGATACCTGTCACCAAGCAGAATTCTCCACAGTGCAGTCAGCTGCACTTTCTGAGAGGAATTCAAGTAGTCTCACATAAATGGCAAACTGACTTAAATATAGACCAGGATTTTGTGAGATATCTCCATAAGAGGAGATTCCTCATCTGCTACTTAGTCAGAAGCATAGACTCTCTTCTGCTGCATACCCTATTCTTCCTGAAACAGCTGCAAATTCTATTGACTCCTTCCGAACACCCTTGCCATAGAATACTGCAAATGCAAAAAAAAAATTGTCACAGGTGCTAGGGAAGGTGGAAACAGTTAATGGAAAAGAAATCCATACCAATTTATTATGTACACAGAAAGCAACTTTGGCTGAGGAATTCCTTCAGCTGAAGCTAGAGGGATGGAGAGTATCCTGCAAAAGACCACCCTGTGGCCACATTTTATATTCTTCCCTAGGCATCTGCTTCAGACCCCATCTTGAAATAGGAGCCTGGGCTAGGTTGTCAGACTACTGATCTGACTAACTATAGCCATCCATATGTTTGGTATGACATACTATAGTTGCCCGCATGTTAACCTCCACTTGCATACCCAAATTATATGGTTATTTTCATTGCTATAGCAATTTGAAGCCATGGCAATGGACAAGAACTTAACTGGGCTAAGGTTGTAAGAGTCATGTAGAAAGACTACTGGCAAATTCCTCTAATACTGAAATCCAATATTTTCTGTTCTATTCCTCAACTCATTAGTGCCACTCAGGCATATATACACTTACAGATACCTCACTTTACATAACCTCTGATCTCAGAGGTAATGAGATAGCTAATCAACTGCACCAAATGGGCATCACCTTTACGATGCAGACCACAAAACATTACACCCCTATGACCTCTGCCTGTATTTTGCATGCAGTCTGAACAAGAGAGCAAAAACAGCAAAGCCATTTGATGCCAGGCATGAATAGCAAGCGCCTGCTACTGGAATCCACAACATTTACCACAAAAGCAAATGACAAAGTTAATCTGAAATAACTGCTTCCCTTCCTATTTATGTCTGTTGCTGCCACGGCACCATTTCATGGTTCAAAGGCAGCTGGCTGACAAAACATAATTAGCATCTTCACCACCTTCTTATATCTCACCAGCAATACGTTACTGATCAACAGAACAGTATAGTCCTTATTTTATAGACCCGCAAACCCTAAGATTTTCCACTGTACTATATTATACAGCAGATTTTATCCCAAAGTTGTTAACAAGAAATTGATTGTCAGGGATTTGTTCTCTAGAGAACTTAGGAGGTTCCTTCTAATATGCCCAATCCTACACCTGGAGAATTGCACAGTGCTGCGGGAATAAATAAGCATATTTAAGCATTTTGTTGTGCTTATATCCAGTGCCACAGTCATCCATCCTGTCATTTGCCACCTTTCTTCCACCAAGGAATTGGTCATAAAAGAAACGGCGGGGGGTGGAGCATCAACGAAAGTTTTTTTCCTATCCCTAATACGTCCCTTAAGGCCCTTTACTCCTCCTTTGAAGGGAGGAGTTCATCCACCCCCTAATATATCAAGCTGTGAGCAGAAACTTACCACAAGTTCAGAGAATCGGGCATTGAGTTCTTCTGCTGGTGGGATTGGGACAGAAAACTCAAGGAATTGGAGGGGGTTATTGTCCTTGAGGTTGATTTCCGGGAGGTCGCTACCCCCAAAACAACAAAGAAACCCCAACGCATGACGATTCCTCTTCCGGGGGGCCATGATCATGGTGTATGATGCTATCTTCTGATCATGTTCTGCAGGAAGGAAAAAAAAAAACCAAACAAAAAACAACAGACATTAAACGATAAACAAGACTGTTGGATCTGTGTAGCTCTGTGCAGTTACAATGGTTATCACTGGTGTAACAGCTGGAAGAGGACAGAAGGATCTGAGACACGAAAGAGCAAAATAAACATGCAAGCTAGACAAGGTAGCTAAGCTTTAATATGGTGTTAACATGTTCTTGTATGGCAGTGTAGAATCACTTCTCCCAGAGTTTCTGAAAAGGTTTTACAAACTCAGTGTGGGATTTTCCGGCAGGTAGGTTTATCTACCTATAATATATTAATACATTATTTATATTATTTATATGCTCAGTAGCCAAGGTTGAATGCTACCACTGAATGCCAGTATTGGCCCTTCTCTCACTACTACAGTAAAGGAAGCAAAGTATCAGAAGCAAAAAGCATATACTGGAGAATTTTCCCAGAATAAATGGAAGAATCCTCCAAAGGTATCCTGTTTGGTCAAAATAAAATGAACAATGAAACAATGAAGCAGAAGTCAATTTTCCACCACTCTGGAGCCAAACCACCAAACACTCACTTAACCCTTTATGGCCAGGACTATCACAGCAGGACCATTTTGTCTGTCCCATTTTCAAACACACGTAACTAGTTTGGGCTGCTTTTTGTTTCCAGGGGAGAAACTGCACAAGCTATGCATGCTTTCAGATTTACACTTGAGCAGCCAGATCCCATCTTGACAGGACCCAGGCTTGAGGGGCTTTGGTATCAGGAGTGCAAAGGGAGGCAAAAGGAGGCCTGAAGGAGGTTCTGGGAAGTGACTGATTTTACCACACAACACCGTTTGTGAGCAGCCCATCCAAACAGGAAGTCTCCTGCCAGCAGTTTGAAAGGAGGGATCTGCGCAGTCCACAGAGAGCTGCATATTTTGCCCTTTTAAGGGACTTGTTTGACAGCTCAGGGGTTTATTTGTGTTATATTTTTTAAGGACTTCACTTTTTCACTTAATCTGCAGAATAAGCCATATCCTTAGAGAGTAAATAATTAAAGCCTGTTGTGAAGCCCAGGTCCCTGGGCACAGGGCAGGGGTGCAGGGAAGGAGGTGGCAGGTGAACCGAACCGCAGGATGCTGGATGCCGTATCAGCAGCAACACAGCTGAGCTTTGTCATCAGAGCAGCTGCTGCCCTAACCTGCCCCACAATGCTTTGGTCTGTTTGTTTGGCAGAACAAGGCTGCTTTGAGCTCTCATAGAGACTAAGTAGCTCTGCTAGGAAAAGCACCTTTAGGACAGCAGTTGCATAGTGGGACTTAACATACTACACACAGCCAGAAGATCTCCAGGGACTTTTTGTGTAGAAATCGGCATGCTCACTTAAGCAAAAAACTAAGCAACAAACAACAAAAAAACCCAAACCACCCAAACCTCCACCCTTGTGGCACTACGTGCTTGGCAGGAATCACCTGCCCTACTTTGTGCTGGGATTAGTTTATCTAGCGCCTTCTCTTATGCACTGGAGGGGCATCAGCTGCAGCTGTCATGAAGCTGAAAGGAAAGTGAGCTGGTACCAAGCACTGTCTTCTGGCATGCCCACTTCCCTCTACTTTCCACGCCAACTCTGCAAGGGGTGGTATGTCTCAGCAGGACTCACTAGGGCAGGGTGATGCTGGCTTCAAAAGCACATTCATAAGAACCTTGGATTCTCACTCGGAGATGCCAAAGGTCAACCTAACCCTGGAACCAGTCTCTGACCCTGATTCGGTCAGCAAAACCAAAATGCCCTCAAATATAGCACAATGATGTGCACGGCAACTTAAGTCTCCACCACTGAGAGGAAACAGAAGACATTCAGTTCTTAAAAGATTTCACAAGAGAGCCTCAGAAGAAGTTGAACTTGTCTACCACAGACAGTCTTCTCAGAGACTACTCTGAGTGCAATGTCCTTTATGGGAATCTGGTCACGGATGAGGTTAGAACCCATTAGTTTGACAAAACTTTGTTTTGGAAGAAACTCAAACCAATGAGACAAACCTGATTTACACACAATATAACTACGTTTTCATCAATTCAGTTGTAAGCAAGTTCTGGTCTGCTGTCTAGAGGCTTCCTCATGAACCATCAAAGGACCAGCATTCTCTGGGGCATGGACAATGAATCCTCTTCTGAAAAATTGGCTGAGACATTGAAGTGATAGGACCATAACATCTTCTTTTATGAGCTCAGGTCAAGACTTTGGTAAGCATTCCTCCAAAAGAGGTACCTTACCAGGTAATGAGTTCTACATGAATAGATATGAAGGCCAACATTTTCTACAGGTAAGTACTGGCCTGGTCAGGGCACCACAGGTTGTCCTGTACTGACATTTCATCACTCAGGTGAACCTGCGTAAGATGAAAGCTAAGAGGTGAACCATCAGTCTCCAGGCCTTCTTCATCCATAATGCTGAAAAATACACAAGTTAGTGCTTGTTCCTCTGCTGTTTTTACAAAATTGGCATCCATTCCTTGGGATCTATACCTGAGAAACTCAGCAAAGCTACTCAGCTTTTACTACTCTGCAAAAGCACGCAGAGCTCCCATGAACAGTAACCTTGTATTGACTCACTTTCACAAAGCATCATTCCATTGCACAACCCATACTCTTAACACTGGCATTTTCCAGGTCCATCTATAAGCAGCATGCAGGAAATTAATACTGACACAGAGGGGAAAAATGGCACTTTTGTATTGCTACAACACTGTAACTGTAGAAAGGTGAGGTGTCTAGATGCTTTTAAAATAAGAACAATTGAGGACTGCTAGAGGGGAATCCAGCACAGGTATTTTAGAATTGAATCACTGAATGAATGAATGATATTTCTAAGTGGAAGCACTGTCTGTCTAAAGATTAAGCCTGCCAGTCACAGGGTGCTGAGGGGCATTTACTTAAGTTGCACTGTTTATGCTCTTTAAGAACTAATTGCAAGTCATGAATTTTTATCAGTGGACATAGTTTTAAATAAAACAAACATTTTCTAAGAGCCTCCAAATTAATAATCCTCTCCTTTTCTTTCTCTCTCTTTTGCGTTTTCTTTGTCAAGAGGCAAATCTGGGGAAAATGTGCTTCCAAAGGACAGGGCGGGGGAGTGGGGGGAGGCAACAAAGAAAATGAAGAAAAGAACATCTTTCATTTTTCTGAGTGGTAATAGATAACAAAGCTGTCATAAAAATTTATGACAATAACAAAAGGTGGGTTTTTTATTCTAATAAAAGCTCTATTGCCTTTCAACTTCTTGCAAGTAAAGTGACTGTAAAAATGAAGCATGTGCAATTATCTATTTCTACTTATACCTCCAGTAAGAATCAATGGGAAATCTCTCTCTGGAGAGAATCCCACTATTATGCATAACTCCCTCCCACAGCTATTCTCAGTTGTACTGTTTTACCCTTTTGCACAACACAAACAAGTTGCTGTCATTTTAACAGCTAACCACACACCCGCTCCTCATAGCAATCCCCTCTCTGGCTTCCCAGCCCCAGCTGTGGTTCGGCTCAGGTCAGGAGTCACAGTCTGGAACTTTGCCCAAGGTCTAATTATAACAACGTCCTCTTCCTCTGACAGGGCGTACGTGTTCATTTCTAAACCATTTGGCCCAGTGACCAAACATAATTAAGCTAATGCAATTTTTCCAAGTCTTATCAGAAAGTTTAGCCACGTGGGATAGGACCCATGCTAACTGCACATGAGGATCGTCTTTCAATTACAGGTTCTAAATTCAGTCTCACTCTTTTCTTCATTCGCACCTCAGAAATTAGAATTTTCATGCAAACATATCCTAAATAAGCAACATTCCACAAACAGTAAGACACCTGAAACAACTGCTATGCCAGCAGCTCTTCTGTGCAAGAGAGCTGATTATCATAGTTTTTACCTCACCATCCTGTCCTTCACCACAGTGAACAGGCAGACCACAACTATAACTAAAATAGAGAAAATTACTTTTGTATTGTCACCTTTGGAAAAACAGAAGAAAGAGAGAGAACTCTGTGGGTTAACTAAACACACACAGTCCTGCAAAACCAGTTTGCAACATAAGGAAGCATTAATGGAAAACACTAATGCGCTCACTTCCAGAGCTGAATCTCTACTGATCATTAACAGACACACAATGTCAATGGATGGAGCCACAGCTCTCACCTGAGTGGGAAGCACAGGACTAAATAAATGCATGATGCAGAATCCCTGTCCACACTGGTTTATGCTAACAGGAGAGAAAACAAAGTAAATCACTTCAGTTTCCCTGTAAATCTGTATGTTTCTCTATGGCAGGATAAAACATACAAATGTGATGTATTACCACAGAAGTAGAAAGAAACTTGAATTTGGACTGGTTTGGAACATAAGCAAACTTACCCCCGACTCCCAAATCCAAGTTAAATGTCTCTGTTATTCAACTATTAAATAATAAACCACCACAACTTCATGGTACTATAATAGCTACCTTCATTGTCACTTACTGATCATGAAACGGAGAAAATAAGCACCAAGCTCAAAACTGTCAAAATATATACATTGGGTAAAGGTAAAGAGCTCCATACTGATCCTATGCTCGGTTCCCTGGACCACATTGCTTCTCCAATACACAGACGGTGAAACTATGAGCTTCACGGCATGTTCTAATTACCATGGGAATTTTCCGTGTATGTCACATATAACATGACAGATGTCAGGTGCAATACAAGGCAACTGCAGCATGGTGGATAGGGAAAGGGGGCAGGCAAGCAATCCATTTGCTGCATCTGCAGTAGTAACCCAACTCCTTTGGTTTGGATTTGTCACCATACTAAGGAGTTTCCTGGTCTCCAGAGCACAAAACAGCAACAAAATAACCAACTATTTAAAATCCACAAAGTTAAAACCTTTCTTTCAGGAAAGAGGGTAGTCCTTCCTGAAGAGCGCACCTGCCTACTGTGTTGGACAGGAAGGTATCAGACCCAAAACGGGTCAACAGATCACAGGAAACAAAATCCT